ATATTCCTGTTGCTATGGTGACGGCGGTAGGGGTAGCAATCTAAGACAAACAATAATCACTATGATTAACTTTAATGTGACAACGTTCGGCAATAGACGTAATTATCACTATTGGTGCCACCAAATCGCTTTCCTATTAGAGATATTCATTTTCCAATATTTCATTTATACGTTCCGCCAAGTGTATCTTAAAGGAAATTTTTAATATTTGACGAAATAAACATTGTAAGTGTTAATTTATCAACAATACATGGATGCCTTGATAAATTCAAGCTATACGTATAGCTTATTTAATCTGGCGACACATATAGGTCTATTTTCCTTCATATCGATCCCTAACTTGTTTTGGTAAACCCCCTTAAGAGCCTAATATAAACCTTGTTTTTGATTCGCTGTTAAGAGATTGACGTCATTATGAATACAGCCTTCTGATTGGCTGGTAACGTGTACCCTCACCGCCGCCATTTTGATTTAAGAACTTACCCTAATTTTTTTCATTTTAATCTACAAAAAAAATTAAAGTCCACAGTTATTCTTCCCACCTGATATACACCTCGAAAATTTCAAATTTCTGTTTTTATACGGCGTTGTTCTACCGAACCCCCACCTTTATGTTAAGCGTGAGAATTACATAAATGCTATATTTTCATAATACTCGTATATATCTTGATAAAAGTAAAATGTTTCCTATAATTTCTGATGAACTTGTCACCTTGTGGTGGCCACTGTCAATACATACTATTCTTTTTGTTTCCTGTATGTGGAGTATACATAAATACAAAGATGAAACGTAGCTCCTTGTGAACTTATTCACGATGAAAAGTAACTTAATGATATCTAGTATCAAAGTATTCCTGTCTGGTATTTAACTAAAAACTGTAAACAGGTAGGTGATTGACAAGGAAGAAAAATTGATCAAGCTGAAAGGATTCAGTATTAACCTTAATGTTCAGACTAGGTTTATTATGACCAGTATATGGTATCTTTCCACACAACCGACATGTTCTCATTTAGCACAGATGGTAAAGTTAGTGATGTCACTGCCGTCCGTCCTCAATCCCTAAACGTAGTGATGTCACTGCCGTCCGCCCTCATCCCTAATTATAATGTGATGTCACTGCCGTGCGCCCTCATCCCTAAAGTTAGTGATGTCACTGCTGTCCGCCCTCATCGCTAATTATAATGTGATGTCACTGCTGTCCGCCCTCATCCCTAAAGTTAGTGATGTCACTGCCGTCCGCCCTCATCCCTAAAGTTAGTGATGTTACTGCCGTCAACCCCAATCCCTAAAGGTAGTGATGTCACTGCCGTCCGCCCTCATCCCTTAAGTAAGTGATGTCACTGCCGTCCGCCCTCATCCCTAAAGTAAGTGATGTCACTGCCGTCCGCCCTGATCCCTAAAGTTAGTGATGTCACTGCCGTCCGCCCTCATCCCTAAAGTTAGTGATGTCACTGCCGTCCGCCCTCATCCCTTAGTTAGTGATGTCACTGCCGTCCGCCCTCATCCCTAAAGGTAGTGATGTCACTGTCGTCCGCCCCAATCCCTTAAGGTAGTGATGTCACTGCCGTCCGCCCTCATCCCTAAAGTTAGTGATGTCACTGGTGTGAACCCGATTTCTAAAGTCACGTTTGATACTATTAGTTTAGGTGATTTTACTAGAACAAACCTAGTGGCTATTCATGATAGATGAATACTATTACATATGGTTTGGAATTCTTAGTCACTATACTGGAGACACACGCTACCAAAAAAACGCAAATTCATTCAATTTCTTTTAAAAGCGGTTTTAGATCTAAGCGAGGTACCAACGATCATTTGGTTAGACTTGAAACCTTTGTGCGCGAGGCTTTTCTAAAGAAGGAACACTTGGTTGCTGTTTTCTTCGATTTGGAAAAGGCTTACAATACAACGTGGAAATGCGGCATAATGAAAGATCTGCACGATAAAGGTATTAAAGGTAATCGACCAATTTTTATTTCAAATTTTCTATCAGATAGAGTTTTTCAAGTCCGGAATGGAACTACCCTTTCCGATCTTCATCAGCAAGAAATGGGTGTACCACAAGGCAGCAATTTTTAGGTTACACTTTTTGTACTTAAAATTAATAGTATTGTCAAAACATTATCCCCTTCAATGCAGGGCGCTCTTTATGTCGATGACTTGCTATCGATCTAAGTATATGAATACCATCGAAAAACAGCAGATTTTTAGAGTTAACGACGGGCGTTAACACAATATGTATAGATATATACAAAACTTTGAATTAGAGGCTAACGAACCGTCACTATAAAGCCATCGAAATAAATTGGCTTTGCAATACACCATTCAGCTGTGGTCGAATATTTCAAATCCTGCTTTTCCCCATGTATTTGATCCAAAATATAAAACATTTTTCAAGGCAAACCAAAAACCGTTCCATCATTTGGTATTCTTTTACAAAAAACAAATTTTGATGTTGACAAAATTCAGTCATTTGGAACGATAGAAATTTCACCCTTGCTCTTGAATTTACCTGAAGTTGACTTTTCACTTCATGAAATGGTTAAATCTGACACAGACAGTTACACCTTTCATTCGTCCTTTTCAAAATTGCAATTAAAATATAAAACATTTCTAAAATTATATACTGATGGTTCAAAAGATAATGATAAGGTTGCTGCGGCCATGGTTACACAAGATGAAACCTATGGATTCTGGCTACCGAACAACGCCTCAATATTCTCGAGAAGCGCGTGCTGTCTACCTCGCTCTTGAATATATTCAAAGAAACAAAGTAATGAGAGCTGTTATCCATTTAGACTCTCTTTCTGTTCTACAAAGTCTTAGCAATAGAAATATCGAAAGTATTTGCATTCGTAATACATTAATACTATGTCATGAACTTGCCTTTAACTTTCGTATTGCTTTTTGCTGGGTTCCTGTGCACAAGGGAATACCAGGCAATGAAAAAGCAGATCGTGCCGCTAAGGAAGCTTTATCGCTACCACCTGTTGTTTTTAAACTTCGTTTTACCGATTTTAAACCGTTTATAAAACAAATTTTAAAAGCTCAGTGGCAGGATTGGAATACCTATACCAATAACAAATTGCACTCCGTTAAACCTGTTATCGGTGAATGGTCTCCATGCTATAGAGACAACCACCGAGACGAAGTTGTCCTTGCCCGTCTTCGGATGGGTCATACATACCTTACACATTCATAAATGTTGAAAGGCGAAGATAATCCTCGGTGCATAGGATGTGATGAGCCATTCACCGTCAACCATTTTTTATTGGACTGCATTGACCTTCTGTCTATTCGAGAATGTTTTATCGTAATATTTCATGTCTAATATCCTCTTTTGAAACTATTGACATTTGTTAAATTCTACATTACCTGGAATATGTTGGTCTATATAGTAGACTATGACGTACGATTTTAATCTTTTGTGTCAACATACCCATTTAAGATTTTTAACATTTGTCTTTTACCTTTTGGTTTGTTTAATGCTATTTCCTTTTGGATCGCTGTGTGTTTTACCGTTTGATGGCCTAATGACTTTTTGTGTTGACGGGCGGTTAAGAATGTAATAATGATAATAATAATAATCTTGCCTTGATTTAAAAGAAAGCTATCAATTATCTTTAACTGGAAACATCATAAGAAAGTTTCAATTCTATATTGCACAGATGAGGGGGGCTGACTACTAAGGGACAGAACCCATATGGAGTAATTTGTCATATTGCTTTAAGCATCTACTGTGAAAAATATGCACAGATATAGTACTGTTGGTCAGTCTTGGCCTCTTGTTTTATTGTCTTGCTGTCGTTATGTGATTTGTTTACAGCAAGAATGCAAATGTATCCAGTGTTCACAGTACATAAAATCAGACACATTTGGTAGGTTACTTAACAGGATGTATTTGGTCAGTTCAACCTTTTCCTTTTTCTTTGAATTGTCATCTTTGAGAGCCTCTAGATCATAACAAGAGGCCCACAGGGTATTTCTTGCACACCTGGTTAAGTTCGCTGATATTGTTTCATTTAATTTAAAGTATTTGAAACACTTGTATCTATTTTCTCTATTTGGCTCCACACCTATGCCTAATGGGGTTAGATGCAGTTAATAAAAAAGTTGTCATCAACAAAGGACGCTTCAGATTGAATTTAGATAAAATTTAATCATTCCAGCTGAAAAAGAGTATGAGAGAATTTGCATTATTTAACCCTTTGGACCCTATCTGTCCAAACCCAGAAGGCCGATTATTCCTACAAGAGGAGTAGGATTTAAAAGAACTTGTAAAGTTAGGGCAAAGACTTACCATTTATACAAAATATGTTCTTTTTCCTCCAAACTTTTTCAATATCCCCTCAGTCATTCATGACTAGCACTGATTTGTTAAAAAAAGTTGACCCACAGACAATGACAATGAATGACTGGGTATGCCATAGGCTCACTTTGCCCTTTGATCCAGTCGAGCTAAAAATGAAACTTTTTGGGGTTTTTTGGAGTCAGAGGTTCACTAAAATGGCAATTTTTTTTCAGTCTTATTTCATAAATCTTTTATGAAACATAACCTCATGACAGATTTAAAGGAAAACTCTGTGACTACAGCATATGTATTTGTCATCCATTGTTTAAATGTAAATTTTCTAACCGACTTGAAGCATGAAGGATGCATTTATCAGAACATGAATGAACAATGTTTTTTCCCCTTCTTTCAATTATAATGTACAGTGGAATATATTTTTTGTTCATTGTTTCTAATAGTCAAAACCAATCTTTAAAGAATCAAGAGTATCCCTCAAATAAAACTCACAGCGTCACTGATGAAAGTATGAGTATGAATATTAGACAGCAATATTCACTAAATTCCATTACAACTAAGTGTAATTAAAGAAACCTTGTAGCACAGCATCCTTAACACTGGGAATACTGGTCTATTTTTATCTTATGCATCAATGATTTCTCCATACGATCAAAGTGTGATAAATATTAAAACAAAACACAAACAATACACCACAAGTTCCATCCTTCATTTATTGAAAGATCCAAACAGATCATTTGACAAGATAAAATAGACATTTCAAAGTGTAAAAGAAAAAAACAAAAATTTCTCATTTATGAATGTCATCAATAAATAAAGTATGAAGAGAAAATTCAGCACAAATGTAAGATTTAAGGGTGTATGCTACACTTCACAATAAAACAGTAATTTGAGAAAATTGTCTGAGTTTGCATGCATCTATTTTCTATTCTCTATCAGGTGTACATACTATTTCATGGCATTCGCAATTAGTTATCAATTGAATTATTAATTAAAAAGTCTTCTTTTTAAATCATATTATACATAATCTAGAGCTGGGTTCTTTTCAGAAGGAGATTCACGTCAAAATACAACAATACATCATATTCTATCAGGATCATATTTCTCCTAGTAGATCATTCTGCAATAACACAGTTTAGTGGTAGGTTATGTCAAAATAGCACATACCAATGTACTGTAGGTAAAAAAATTACTTATAGTTTACCTATACACTGATCTGATCTCTACACTTTATTCAGAAAAAAATATGTTTTTATCTCATTTAAGATATCAAATATACATTAACAATACAAAATGCTGATATAACAATGTAGTATCGGAATGTTGGACGGACTTACATGTAAAGACCATATTATTATCACAGGATTCCTGAGGAATCAATACACTTAATATTGTCTACACATTCTCACACCAATCATACTCTCTCACAAAACACATCAGTATCACCCATACTAAACAACACTACTGCTTCTCCTAGGACAGTCAGATCAGAGCTGCTACTGAAGGTTACCTATGTACAGTAAAGTTTCGTTAATTTTAAATTTCACAATTTATATGTTTTTATGAACGAAATAAAAATATTTTGTATCATAGTGTATGTTATTACAGAAGAATGAATTTTCAAAAGATATATTTTTAGACTATGTCATTGATATGCATGTTCTGATTGGCTGACATGTACCCAGATAAACACAACACAAGCTTGGATTGGTTAGATTTCAAATGCATTTTCATCAAAACAAAAGCTGCTGTACACTTTTTGGTATTCCTGATATTTTTGTAATGGGTTGTGAAACCATCTTCAATCTGGCTGCATTAAAACTGCTCTACTAGAAATCTGTGACGTCTGATGTAACAAGTGTTCTGATTGGCTAGTAAGCACTGTAGTCAAACTTATCCTGATTGGCTGTGGCGTTGCTGTGGACTTGTTTGTTTTGTGATGTCTTGTCCTTTAGTTTGGCCTGTAATAAAACATGCTCCACTACACCTATCCTGATCTCCATTTGCATATTCTCTTTCTTCAGCTGCTGTATGGCCTGTTTGATCTTCACCAGGGGAGCTGTCAAAAAGAACCAAATTTTTGTTTTCTGTAAGTATATGCTAGAACACAGACTTGTTAGCAAGCACTGAAACTGTATAGCTGATCCTGTAAGTCTACTGTCAGGTAAGAAACACCCAACTATCACCTCGACCTATGACATTTATGTCAATATGACCTTGACCCCAATGACATTTTGTGAGTTCACAGAGTTTTGAATACATAAAACATGTGTCCATTACAAAAGTTGACCCTTGACCTTGTGTTATCATAATCAAGCACTTTTCCACTAATTTTAAATTGGACCCCAAATGTGACCTGACTTCTTGTTTCACAAAACCGTTAAACTAAGATTCATGGCATCATCACCATAAAACAGTGACAAAAGCATGAGTAGAATATCTGATTACTTCATTGAATGAAAAAAAGAATATGTCTGCTTTAATTAGCGCTAGCTTCTGAATAGTTATATTCAATTTGATAATCATATTGAAATTTTATTACCTCATGTGTTTTTATCATGATTAGGAGAACTTAAAAGAAATAACCAAACCAGATTTCACACAGCAAGTGCTTTTCCAGAAATAGTGACAACAAGAATTGATCAATGACAGACTGTTGGATGTATGGATGGACAACACCGGGTGATAGGACCAATTCACTATCTGATGATGCTGGACTGTAAAGTAGACTTTACAAACATAAATGGAAGAAAAGAAGATGCAAGGTGATTAGAACAATTCATCATCTGATGATGGTTCACAGAAAATCAGACTTTACAAAGACAAATGGATGGATAGAGGATGCCGGGTGATTTGTATATCTGATGATGGTCGACCAAATGCTTGACAAACAGGTTGACAGAGAAGAACTTACCTCCATCTGTCATACTACTGCCCCTCTCCTCCATATCCTGTTTGATCTGTTCAAGCTCCTCAGACACCTGAAAGTTAAAATCAGAGTTTAACAGGTTGATAATAAGCTGACAACAAACATATAACAAAAGGTAATGCATGGAATAAATACATCTAACATGCTACACTTGTGACACTACTTCATAAATCTCTGTTGGCATTCTTGTGACTGTATCAAAATGAGAGAATAAACACTGGTTTTATACTTTTATCTCACTTTGCTTAATACAAAGGGAGACAATCCTCATCATTACTAACAACACTGATCTCAATTCCAACTTTAAACTACATTTATTTATCTTTCAGTGACTGAAACAAAGGAAGACAATCCTTACCTCTGCTAACATTCTCGATCTCTCTGTGACACCCCCACTAGCTTGTCTATACCGCTCCTTTGTCTCGGATAATTGTTCCTGTTCTGCCCTAAACTGAGCCAGCAAATGCTCCAGCTGATTATTGATGTACTTTTCACGGCTACCGATTTTTTCCATGGTGCGTGTGATTTCATCATGGAGTTTGTCTAGGTAGGACTTTGTCTCTGTCAGTGAAGATTCTATACCCTCTTTGTGTTGATGCATCTGTTCTACGTGCACTCGCCAATCCTGTAGAATGAAATAATACAATAAACGAAAAAATTTAGAAGAAATTCTTCCTACAATTGCTTGTTACATTGTAAATAATGATTTGAAACAATAAGATGATAAACTAACCTTATTGTCTGTATGTTGTGACTGTCCCTAACATAAACTAACCTTATTGTCTGTATGTTGTGACATTTTGTTGTAACTGACCCCAACCTAAACTAACCTTATTGTCTGTATGTTATGAGATTTTGTTGTAACTGACCCCAACCTAAACTAACCGTATTGTCTGTATGTTGTGACATTTAGTTGTAACTGTCCTTAACATGAACTAACCTTATTGTCTATATGTTGTGACATTTAGTTGTGACTGACCCCAATGTAAACTAACCATACTGTCTGTATGAATTATTTCCTTTAGTTGTGAGTGTCCAAGCATCTACTAACCTTATTGTCTGTACGTATTGTGACCTTAAGTTGTGGTTGTACACGCTCAACCTCGAGTTTCCAGTCAGCAGCATCTGTTGTTGACTCAAGAATATCGTCTGGTTTGGTAGTCTCATTTGTTTGCTGTAGAGATAAGACCAATTCAATTTAATACAAAGTTTTCAACATTTTACAACATGCAGGTAACAGTTTTCATCATCAGAGTTATAATTGACTGAAGGTTTTTCCAGTATGAAGTTACAAAAACAAAGTGATATACACTGAGATTACTTCGAGTTTAGAATTGGTATCAGTCATATATGATATTTTCATGTTTGCAAAGATTTCTAATTTGTGTGATAAACAGAATCTCACATTCATTTCCAATTCATATAAGATATATGATTTTTTTCATTTTACATCCCCAGCCATTTGGTAATATGAACAAGTGATCCCAATGGGATTTTGGTACCCATATATCATTGTATACCCATTATTTGTCTTTTAAAAGTTAAATCTTTTTTCCTTCCTTTCTAGTTTTTACTCTATTTTTGCCCTTAATAATATGAAAGTTAAAATCTTTTCTAAAGAAAAAGCAATATAAAAACAATCTTTAACTGCTAAGTCCAATATGGTCATCTGTCTGCTATTTTTGTTTTCCTAATCAATCCCAAAATCAAATGGACACAACTAAGGACAAAAGAGATCCTACAAATGTAATCTGAGAAAAATCCAAATAAATCTCAAATGTATGGAAACTTATATGAAATTATGATATAAACCCAAATTTGTATATATTTTATTCTGAAAAATTCTATCTGAGATTATCTTGCCTGCTACCATATTGTTACAATACAAAACTAAAAACGTCTCTGCAAGACATGAATATCTCCATCCATGTGCATCAGTATTACTGTTTTATGAATTAGCAGAATATCTAAAATGTGACCTTTGACACTTTGACTAATGACCATCTTAATATGATATGGTGTAGAACTTGATGGTATGAAGTAAATATGAAACAAATCTATTGAGAGGTTCTCATGATGTAATACGAAACGGGACAGGACAGATCATCATGGAACGCAATGGACAGACATGGTCGGTCACACTTTGTTCCAACTCAGAAAAATAGCACACATAAAATATCCTGATGTACCAACCTTACTCTGGCCGAGGCGTTTCAGTCCTTCTAAATCCATGATCTGTTCTTCCTCCTCAAATTCATCTTCATCATCACCATGTTGCTAAAATACAAATAGAATAAAATACAAACTAAATTGATATTTACATTTGTTTATATACAGGCACTGTTACATTTCACAGCTGAACAAGGCATTGGTCAAGCAAAAGCAATCCCTCTGTTCTGTGTTTTTTGTATTTCACCAATAGATTACACAGTAGAATCGTGATATATTAGCTCATATCTAACATAGGTTTATGATAAAAAACACAATTATCAGATTTCACAAGGAGTGCTGGATGTATATTGTAATCCTAAAAAACAAGCACAAGAAAGCCTTTTATCTGATGAAGCATTGGATGATGTCTGAGTGCACTAGACTCAACAGATCTTGAGTCAAAGCAAATTTTCTATTTAAAGTAACAGTGACCATGACCTTTGGACCTGAAAACTAATCTCAAGCAATCACTTATTGTAAAGAAGCAAAAAATTATGCTGGAGAATAAATTGGCAAATATAGAATTTGAAAAGCTTTCTAACTATATTTACAGTGACCTTGACTTTTGACCTCCAGACCTGAAAAACCATCCAAACCAAGCACTTTCTTCAAGAAAACGTTGGCTCAACTCAACAGATGACTTCTGAGATAAATCGGCCAAACAGACCTCAACATATTGTATGTAGGTAAGGATCAAAAAGGTGATGAATGGTCTGATGGACGGATGGAGAAGTGTTAATATATTAACCCCCTTCTGATATTAAATCAAGGTGTGTGTGATAAGTAAATATTATCAAGAAATATTTACATCATCATTGATGTAAAAATTCACAATTTAATTATTGTTGATATTTACAGTATAAATATTCACTTTAAATAAGTATGTAACATAGTGTGTAACATAATGAATGTATCAAAGCTGGAATCATTATCCGGTTATAACCCAATGAACAACTTTAAGTATATTTATCAATATTGAATGTAAATAAAAATACTATCTCTGAGAAATATATTTTTACAATATCTGACCTAACCAGATTGCATCTACAAAATATTTAAACTCACATGGGAAATGATAAAAAAAAATCTTCCTTAGATTCAAATGGAAATCCAGTACTACTGTATAAACTATTTTGGTTGTTATATAAACTTTTTCAACATGAGACAAGTGAAATACAAAACAGCTAATCTGAAGGTGACATATGTAATGTTTGTTGATCAGAGTGGTGTAAAATACACCAACAGTAAAAATGGTTTTTTTTCAAATATATAATAAAGCTTATTAATGTGAACTAAATGCAATCCTAAGTGAAAATTACATCTAAAGCATTGACTGTCAGTAATTAAGTTAGTTTATTTCAAAGACTACAAACTAACATTATTCAACTACATCACATGAAATATTTTACTGTGACATAATAATACATGAACAATAAATGAATTGTGTTTCTCATTTAACTAAAAAATTAACACAAAATCTATTGTATTTTTAATATAACGTAAAACACACTGCATTTTGCTCTTAAAAAACACTGCTGATGTAAACATAACAATTTGTGTTACCATCACCGAAAGTTCAATAGTGCTCTTACAGGAAGAAGTCCACAAATTGAAAAAAAAAAAAATTGAATAATTTATATGAACAGTTTTCATTTTTTGGTTTTTGACTATCAAAAAATTTCTGTTAATATTATTTTGGTAAATATTTTTTCAGCATACATTTTTCCAGTTTTTCTCTCAGACAAGAAAATAGGGTATTAAAAAAAACACCAGCATAAAAAGACTACACAGAGAATAAGTAACTAAAGCTATCAAAACAAATGTATAATTAGACAACAGGGAAAATATCAACACAATCAGATATATATGATTGATAATGATGAAAGAAATTATATCTCAGGTTTTTTTTGTACAACAATTGATATATATACATAAAAAATGTCATATTTGAGAAAAGAAAAAAACACAAATGAAAATCAGAGATAGAATACCATATCTATCCTGTAATAAGCTCAACTGACCCAACATACAAATTGACTCAAAGTCAGAAATGGTGGTGGTGGTGGTGATGGTGGTGGTGGGAGGGATATTTCTATTTCTGAACGACAAAAGTGGCATTGGTTTTTAATTCTAATTCTTCCAAACAGGCATACAAAAGGACGGGCTTATTACCAGACCAGTAAGGACATGAAACTGTCAACATCTGTCTGTAATTCTGCTAAAAAATAGAGAACTTATTGTCAAAAAATTGTTTATTTAAGCACTTTACAATTGAACATATTAGTGGGCTTTTTACCAGACATGGGCTTGTTACTGAATCAAGTTGTCTACAGTATAATAATTTTAGTTATACCAAAAATTTACCAAAATGGATGGATTCATTTCTCAACAAGAGGGATGATGAATTGTCAGTACCATAATGATTTTAATTATACATGTACCATTATCAATATGAGTGGGTTTATCACTTGGCCCGGGCTTATTACAAGACAAATAAGGTAATGGACTAGTTTCATGTTAATAGACAAATATCTACATATAATATATACTACATGGTTCATTATATATAAGTTTAGTTATAAGAGACAAATTACTACTATATATTCATCCCATAGATTTTGCATCAATTTAGCAGAATTTGATAAAAGTTCACTCATCAATTAATTTTCATTGTTACCTCATGATATTAATATGTTTTTCTTCTAATGTAAATAGTCCAGTTATTTCAGCAAAAAACAGAAACAATCACGTTGAACATGTTTAATTTCTCCAGGAGTTCTATTTTTGTTGCGTCATGATAATATGTTTTTATTGTAAAACATATGTATAACTTCTTTAATTATTTCTATTTTAACAGAAATGATACTTGATATAGATGTTGTTCACTCTATATTAGGATATTGCAACCATTAGAATAAGACCAAGACGCATGATAGCCTTGAGAATAAAACACAGAAAATGAATATTTCATGCTTTTTGCCAAAAAAAAGTCCCTTTAGTAGAATCAAACATTGGGTAAAACTGCAAATAATGGAACAAAATGGGAAAACATATATGTCAGGTTACCATGGTAACCTAAAACTAATGACGACCAGTTTAACAGCCACACCTAAACTCGTCATACCATATGGATAATATTTTATAAAGAATTTCCTTTTTCAGTTACCAAAAAAAAAAAACACAAAAAAACAAAAAGCAAAACATTCTACTCTCAATCTAACAACTATTTATGAATTTATTTGTGAATGCTTTTTTATTCTAATTTAATTTTATAAATGACCAAAATATCAATCTTAAGTGATAATCTAAACAGCAGTATGTGATAGGTACCTAGTACACATATCTTAAGTTAATCAACCTCTTAAGAAAGCCACCTTGGCTACCTCTAATTTGGAGCTACATGAAAATAGAAGTTTTCGTTTTTATTTATAAAAAGACGACAAAAATTAACTCTTTTATTTATAAATTTGTAAACTGCAGAAACATCATGAAACACGGACTATGAAAGTGTAATCATATTATTATTAGTACAGTTATAATGTGTCAGAACGGTTTTGTTTTTCTATGTGTAAAATTCATATCTATATCTGGAGAAAACATCGTTTTACTTTAATATATACTTTTAAATAACTGCAATCTAACTGAATTTGAACTGTAAACTTATCAACATCATGAGGTAACAAAAGTTATCTCCCTTTACATTTCAAAACATAAAAGTCCTTTACAAAACATTGCTTCTGTTTCCATAGAGGAAAATTGATGGGACAACACTGTAAATTTTACTTCAATTGTTTTCTATTATGAATGAAAATTTACGGGAAGAATAACAGTTATTAATGGTGATGATATACCCACCGAACGCTGCATATACTGTAAAGTGTTAAATCAAATTTAACAACATCGTACTCATGGATCATGTGGTACAGGCAATTGTTAGATCAAACACACAAAACATCTCCCAATATTGTACAGCCGATCAGTCAATCATCATTTTAAACATACAGACATCGTACTGACTGACACATGTAGTAAAGCATTCAAACATCTTACTGACCAATGCTTGATCAGTCAATCATTAGTTACATACCAAATAAACATTTTACCGACCAACATTATGACATTGTACCAGTCAATACTTGTACAGCCAATCGTTAGCTCAAACACTCAAACAACTTACTGACAGACACAACTTAGTGTCTGACATTTGTACAGACAATCGTTAGTTCAAACATACAAACACCTTAATAATCAATAATTTTACTTTTTCACTGTATCATCCATTAAGTCCTCTGAAGTATACAATAGGAGTCAGAGACAATACTTGGTCCTGAGCTCAACGTATCAGCCAAACTAATGGACTACAGAGTTGAGTCAAATTTTCTCTCCTTTGTACTAGTACATACCTGAAAAAAGTTTTTCTCCACTTCCCCAAGTGTCAGCTCAGCATCATCTTCTATCACGGTTTCTTCCTCTGTCTCTTCAGTAGGGTATTCTGGTCTGTAAAATCATGTTATCACTGTTAGGTAGTCTGTCTACAACATCGTGTTATCACTGTAAGGTATTCTGTCTACAACATTATGTTATCACTGTAAGGTATTCTGGTCTACAACATCATGTTATCACTGTAAGGTATTCTATTGATAAATCATGTTATCACTGTCAGGAATTTTCACCCATAGATCATTAAATCAACTCACCTTTCCCAGGTGAAATTTGTAGATTTGAGGGCCTCATCTGCTAGTCGTGTCAGTACATATATGGCATGTTCTCCACATCCCTGTTTTAACTTAGAAGGAGGGAAGTCTATCTGATGTCCCTGTATAAATCAAAGAAATATATTGGTCTTGATATGTTTGACAATATATATGAACAAAAAAAATAAAATGCAAATCATTGCTCCATTTTCCTAGATGAATGACAACAATACAATAAGGATGGGTAATTGTGATACCCTTTTCTCAATGCTGATTTCTTCTTTTTTAATTTATAATCGTGTCACTCAGATGGAACATATTTTACATGTTGATAAGTACATAAAGTTTACGTAAGTATACATGTATTGGCTACTGGATCATGAACAGATATTTATATAACACAGAACATGGTTAGAAATTAAGGTGTTATAATTTGGTGACTTCCAGTGGTACATTTGACTTCCTTCATCAGACAAATGACCATCAAGGCAATTGGATAGTGAAGTGAGAAGAGTACAGGACAATTTTTCAGAATCTGTATATGACATACTTACAAGTTTTCTTACTTCTTCCAAAATACTGGATATCGTGGCATTGGGATCGTCATACTGTATGACAAAAAACATTCTTGTAATTTCATCCAACAAAACAAATGTTTGAAAAAAATATTCACCATTTTTGTTTTCAAATATAACTAAAATTACAAAAGCGAATGGCAGCTGACACTTGTGAGTGACTCTACACTTACTTCCTGTGGTTGTTCAAAATTCTTGCCAGCTTTTCTCAGCAACCAAGCTGACAGTGATGTAAACATGAAGAACTGTTCTCCTGGGTTTGTTGGTATCGCAAAGTAATGTCTGAAAGTATTATTCAAAACAGAGAGCATGAGCAGCGTTTTTTTTAAACACATAAATCAAATTATGATACATTATGGCGAGTACTTTAAATCTTATACTGTGAATAATCAATTTGTATCACATACTAGTGCATATCATTAAAATGAAACTCAAGCATCTAAATAGGTAGGAAATTGATAGTTGAAATAGTATGGAAAGCCAGTGAGCTTTTGTCCATGGTAACTTTTACAATTTGATAAAATTTCCTGATAAGGTACAATAAAAAATAATATCTATATGTAGCCAGTCCTTTAAAGAACTTGGTGTCAGGCTAGTGGCTGTACAACAATTTATAATCAATCTTTATGTAGTGCTCCAGGTAAAATTATTCAGTAATAATTGTACACAATGATAAATCATATAGTATGACAAGTGGCAATGGTTCTTACATTCTTTACCATTTTTGTCTTAGTTTTGTATCAAAACATTAAGATTTTTTTTAAATGTGATTATATTTTCTTTAATTATCATGATATTGGTGTCGTTTACTTAAATATGACTAAATAATGTATATTGAAAATAATTAAATTGGAAGATGTGCATCTTGTTGTTGTGTATTAACACAAGTTTGTAACTGAGCTAAAGCATATCTTTGCATTTGGCATATCTTTGCATTTGTCATAATGTACCTTGATATTGGTTTCATATTAAGTGTACGGGAAAATTCACTTTCATAATTTAGCAGCCTCAGCTTGTCTAGAAACTCTTCCATGATGACAAATGGCATGTAGACAAGACCTGGCCCGCCATCCTCTGCATCTTCCCCACGTCGTTTGTCCTCCGACATCCTGTATGTCGGCAGTAACACTAGTTAAGCCCTGAAAAATTATTTAGGTTTACATGACATCTATAATTTTTAAATGTTCTTCTCTCCCTCTTGCTTTTGTACTGGTTATCCTGAATACATGTACATAACACAGACGTTATCTTCACAGAACAAAATATTCTCGCTCTTTGAGAAGATTGGATGCAATTACTATTTTACCAAGGCAACATTTTACATTCTTACACGTACATACTCCATATTAAACCTGTGCTGTGGTAAAGCAAGTATCTGACATTGAACGCTTGTCGGAAGATGCTAAATTGTATTTCTAATCCTACATTAGCATTTTCACTCGTCTTAATTGAACAATAAATTATCTATCTACGACATATGAGAAACAGTCCTTATATGAATATCGTTACCACAACAATACGATCATCGATAATCATGTTAGCATATTTACCTGCTGTCACAAGCAGTCCGTCACAAGTTTGCCTTGGTTTTCGTTTGGAAAGAATGTCATCAACGTAATTTTACGCTTTACAATACCACCCTTCACCCCTGTCTACAAAACATTTAGAAGATACCGATTTCTAACGCATGCGCTACAACTTCAAGCACCATAACTTCCGTTATAGACAATTTCCCCTTTTAACTTTGAAACGAAATAAATCCGTTGTTGATGGAAACTATTTATATTTCTGTACGCCAATTAATATCATTTTTCGGAAATAACTGTGAAAAGTATCACTTATACATGCATTTACGTGTTGGTTGCAGACGAATTTTCTAGTAGCCTCTTTCTGAGGTTGCCATCAACAAGCAACATGGCGTCCAAAGGCAAAGCAGATCCAGCTCTGGATGATTTTTTAAGCAAAGTTGATCAGATTGGTAAATATTTTGTCAATTATACCATTTGAACATTGTCATATAGGTAACAGCATGAAGTTGTCTTTTCGATCTCGTTTTAAAATTAACATAAGTTGATTCAACCAGATTAGATCTCGTGAAATTTGACAGATAAGGTGATAAGAACACGCGAGAAAAACGTGTTTACTCATGTAGTTACTATCGTCTTAATTACATTTACATCATCTTGAATTATGCAAAATTTGAAACTGACATAACGTATCTTGATATCATTGAACATGTGCAGAACCAAAGGAAAGTAAACTATATAACACTGTTATTTAGGTATCTACTAACGGTTTATGTAAGAAAATGACATATTGATGCAGTTTTGCACACTTGGATTTCAGTGTTATCGCACAACATGATTAATCAGTTGTGTTTGATTGGATTTAAATTAAGGAATTTAGATTCGTGCATGAAGGATGACTATTATAATGTTAAAGTATTAATAGTGGTCGCAACATGTCGACAATATGTGGACAAAATAATAATATTGTCCTGAACGTAAATGAAACTTAGTCTTACACCTAATACCAGTATAGAGCTTCACTTGTATTAATTATTACTGTTTTAACGATTTTTTTTTAATAAGTACTTCAAACTGTATCAGATAGCTTAATATAGGCATTGACATGAAAAATTGTACATTCATGATCTCATTGTGTGAAAGATACCAGTAAGACATGACTAGAAGGGACATGTAGCATGAATCTTTTACCCTGTTGATTATATGGTATCTGTCTCTCACCTGATAAAACGTAAACCTTTACATTATGGAACATTACTTAACAGGAATATGTTTTTCCCAGTTCTTTCATGCATGTATATCAGGGACGTATTATATGTCCCCGATGTGTCTGTATTTGTACAATTTACATATGCAGGTTATCTGATAGAGTGACTGTGAAATAAACATTGATCTTCAAGTTTTGAGCTAAAAAGAGTGAGTCAACTGAAACTTTTCATGTAGTGTTAGCTACGGCCTCTATAAGTGTCACACAGCATTCTTCAGGTTGAGGTGTGGATCATCACACTAGAGTTGATGCAGGTTCCGACTTTTGCGGACACTTGAAATGTTGTGTTCCCTTTTCTTCCACACATGTGCACATCTGAGATTTTGTGGTAAAATTGATACTTTTAGTAGCAAAAAAGTAAAGGAAGGATGATGTTTGAGAAATAAGGAATTTTATAAAATTTGATTCTAAATAAAAGATTTTAAGTAGTTTTTTTTCCAAGGTCAGTATGATTTAAAGAACATAGTCAATTTATATCTCCACTATTGTAAATAAACTTTGTAATTTTCTGTTTTTAGAATCCATTGTAAAGACTCTGAAGTATGGTGATGACACCCAAGTCAAGACGGCCATGCAGGAGGCAGATTCCATGCTGGCACATGCTAAATCCCACAAGGGCCATTTCCCTGAGGATTTGGGTCCAGTTGAACCTGGGGACGAGGATCTTCCCCAAACAAAAACTGGTCAGTTACATATCACAAGTTATTATTCCAAACTGGCAGATATCTTTAAACCTGATATGTTCTACAAAGTTATAACCAAAAACTTTCGATGTTGATTTATATTAAAGATTTCTAGGTGATCCTTTCAAATCAGTTTATAAGTTTCAAGGGTCAAAGACCCTAAGGACCATAACACATGACCCTAGAGTCAGACTCAAAATAGGGAAATGGACGTAATCTATTTTTCGTTTGTGATAAATGTGTGTTTTTTTGTTTTTGTTTTTTTGTCAATTTCTGCTGAAACATTAAGTAGGTTCTATACGAGGAATTGTAAGAGCATATTGCTAAAGAAATAAAACCATCTTTATACTTCATTAGGAATCTTTGGTTTGAAGTTATTTGTCGAGTTATTTTTCCATAGAAAGGCTGATAATGATTTTAAAAATAAGCATTACCTACATGTTTTCTGGTAATTGGATATAGAAACCTGTTTGTTTAAAGATAGATGTCATAACATTCATAAATCTTGAAAATTTATCACTGTATTTATATACATATTGAGAATTTTCTAATGTGATCTTTATTTTTGTTTTTCCTCCCTTTAAGGTTTCAGTAAAACCATGATCAATACAGCCCCAACTGCTGCTCCAGACCCAGAAGTGCCGTGTGCTGATAGTTTACAATATGACAACTCAAGCCAAGGTATAAAGTTATACAAGAGAAGTACAGTGTTGCAAATTCACTTAATGAGAAAAATAAAGCAGGAATATATCTTGACTAAATTTTTTGAAAAATAGCAAAAAATACTTAACCTGTCAATGTTAACTGGAGAGTAATATTAGAAATTTGTAGAAAGGAAATGGCATCCATTTTTTTTTTTTGCAGAATCCTTCATGGCAGCTATGGAGGCTGATGCAAATGAAAGAGCTGAGAGACGGAAAAAAAGGCAAAAGGAAGCAAACATCATAAAGGAAAAAGGAAATGACGAGTTCAGACAGGGAAACTATGAAAAAGCATTAGAGTATTATTCAGAGGTAAAATAAGCTCTTATCACATATCACTTTTAATTTTTCAAGATAATTCTTTTCGGGTTGGTAATCACTTACCCCATTCACATAGGTGAAAGGGAGTTTGTTGCTACTGCATCACCCAACAATGACACCCAAATATAAAAGGAAATCAGATGTGCCAGAGATTCTGAATATTTAACTATCTGTTGTTTTTGTTCTTATCTGTTAGCAATGCATTAGGTATATTATGTCCTTGGCAATAAGTTCATGCCTGGTAATAAGCTATTGCTTTTCAGTACCTGATCATTTTCAGCAAACTTTTCAATATCCTTTGTTAAGCCCACCCGTTGACTTTCAGTTAGAAGTAATGTGTGGGGTCCCAAGGCTTAAGGTAGGATATGTTATGTTGCTGGTTCATCATTCATTAAGTTGATTTGGGTTGAGACCTGGTAATATCAGTTTACCTGGCAGTCTTTGTTAATTGAGTTGAAGCTCCAGTTTTGTCTGAAATGAAGATATCATCTTGTAGCCAGATCAACAACCGTGATAAATTAAGTTTATATACTGTAACATTAAATTTTGTGGTGGATTCATTCGCTGGTTTTCTTCTTAATACAGGAATTCATAGGTCCATGAATCATTATTTTTTCTGTGGCTTTCTTGAGTCCTTTGTAACCATGAAAATTGTATGCCCCAAAAAATATCACAACAATTTATTTGAAACTAAAAAAATTATCATTTTACAGTATATAATCAATTAGTGGATCAGCTGCTGTAAAATGAAGTTAGATTTTATCATATTACTACATGTGGTCCTGATTCTAAGATTCTATCACTATTGCTGACTTTCATTTTCATTCTCACATCAGCCAGTCACAACCTTTGTTTTCATCAATAATGACTGTCAGTGATAACCAGCCACAGTCATTAATCTTACTTCCAAGTCTTTAATTATTTACCAATAATTGATATCACTTTTTGTGTTTTCCTCGCAGGCTTTACAGAAGGTAAAGGACAATACAGTATTATATACAAATCGAGCACAGACTCTCATCAAACTTCACAAATATGAGGAGGCATTAATTGACTGTGACTGGGCACTCCGGGTGAGTGGATGACCATCATCTCAGATATTCAAACATTCAACCAATTGAATTTTAATTTATAAAGTAGAACATTCATAATTTTTTTTTTGTTCTTTACAATCTTATTCTGTCCTCCAAATATAGTGAAATGTAGAAACATATAAAAATAACAGTCCTTTTTTTACATACACACATATGTGTATGACCTAGATTTGTGTGACCCTTGTTTTTGACCCAATGTTTCTATTTGACTTTTGGAATATTTCACCTTCCCCCTTTTTTTGACTGTAGGTGTTCCCTAACTGTATAAAGGCTCACATCCACATGGGTCGAGCACACATGGGTTTGGGACAATATGAGAAAGCAAGAGAGTGTCTACGAAAAGCTCAGGAGTGTGACCCTAAAAGAGAGTCAGCTATTAAAGGTAATTACACCTGTCTTTACTGTCGAGTAAGTCGGTCATTATACCTGTCTTTACTGTCGAGTAAGTCGGTCATTATACCTGTCTTTACTGTCGAGTAAGTCAGCCATTACACCTGTTTTTGCCATCAAGTAAGTCAGTCATTACACCTGTCTTTATTGTTGAGTGAGTTTGCCATTTAAGGAAATCACACCTGTCTTTACTGTCGAATGAGTCGGTCATTACACCTGTCTTTACTGTCGAGTAAGTCGGCCATTACACCTGTCTTTACTGTTGAGTAAGTCAGTCATTACACCTGTCTTTACTGTTGAGTAAGTCAGTCATTACACCTGTCTTTACTGTTGAGTGAGTCGGTCATCACACCTGTCTTTACTGTTGAGTGAGTCGGTAATCACACCTGTCTTTACTGTTGAGTGAGTCGGTAATCACACCTGTCTTTACTGTTGAGTGAGTCGGTAATCACACCTGTCTTTACTGTTGAGTGAGTCGGTCATTACACCTGTCTTTACTGTTGAGTGAGTCAGTCATTACACCTGTCTTTACTGTTGAGTAAGTCAGTCATTACACCTGTCTTTACTGTTGAGTAAGTCAGTCATTACACCTGTCTTTACTGTTGAGTAAGTCGGCCATTACACCTGTCTTTACTGTTGAGTGAGTCGGTCATTACATCTGTCTTTACTGTTGAGTGAGTCGGTAATCACACCTGTCTTTACTGTTGAGTGAGTCGGTAATCACACCTGTCTTTACTGTTGAGTGAGTCAGTCATTACACCTGTCTTTACTGTTGAGTAAGTCAGTCATTACACCTGTCTTTACTGTTGAGTAAGTCAGTCATTACACCTGTCTTTACTGTTGAGTAAGTCAGTCATTACACCTGTCTTTACTGTTGAGTAAGTCAGTCATTACACCTGTCTTTACTGTTAAGTGAGTCGACTATTAAAGGTAATCAAATCTATCTTTACTTTTGAGTGATCAGCTATTGTAGGTTTTAAAACACATATTCAAATTACCTAGTGTAGGGTTTATGGAAATCAAAGAGGTGAAAAGATTAATTATCAAAATTTGGTATGTCACTGAAGTAAGCAACATTTTACTGGCTCAGTTAAGGGACCCTGTTGACTTTCTTTGCCTGAAACAAGGTAAGGATGCTTTGATAACAATAGTAAAACAGTTAAGCTATACATGTATCTTTAATTCAGTGCTGGATTTTGCAAACTATGTTAGATAAATTAAACAATTAACAGCTCAAATTACTCACACTACACAGGTACAAAGTCAGGATAGCATAGTACTGACACCTTTGTCTTTAACTTAGATGGTTTCAATTCTTCAATCTGAGGTGAAAAGGTAAAGGGTCACCCGCCTGACCACATGAGTTATTCTTGATGGTCTGGTTTTCTTCCACAATTTAACTCTATTATCTTGTTTTGTTGTAGTTTTGAAATTAAAGTTTTATTATATCCAAAATGCTTACACTGTTTTACGTTGAGATACAGACTAATAATGAATTAATGCTATCGTCATCAGAATACCTGTCAGAAGTTGACAGACTTGAACAAAAGGTGACCCAGGAAGTCCAGGCCAAACAGTTGTTTGAATCAGGAGATGAGAGTGCACAAACCATTGTACAATTACTAGAGAAAGTCTGCAAGCCGGATCAGCTCCCTCTCTATTATAGTGGAGGATTTACTCTCATCTGTAGTGGACTTCAGACAAGTAAGTATTGGTCTGTAATGATAACTTATCATGTAATGGTCATTTGTTAACATCACTAGCCACAATCACTAATTCGCCGACAGTCATGATGAGTAACTTCAAGCATTCATACCTTTCACCTAGAACATGGGTTTAAGACATTGGTGGCAGTGGATGTCTGTTGTGTTGGTTATTTCCCTTCGAAGGTACATTGATTTTCTCTCATGGATGTTCCTCGTTCAACATCCAAAATCATTTGTCAGCTTAGCAGCCAGAGCTCATGTTCATTGCTTAACTTGTAAATAATGAGAAATAAAATAGAAAACTTTCATATTAGTTTACACACAACTATATTTCAGACTTTATAGAAAATGTGATTTGGTTTTATTTCTTTTAACAGTGGAAGATAAGACCCTATTCAGGACAAATGGTGGCATTGATCTCTTCTCCAGTCATCCTTGTTTCTCACGGTAAGTGTGAAAATTGTCCAGTAGAATTGTCTACATTTCCTTGTTTCTTTATTCATTTACATTCCCATCTTATTTGTTGGGATATAAATTTTTTGACCGTTTGATTTTGATTTTGGAGTCAATCCCAGAAGTTGATTGTACAGGAATTTAATGGTCCCAGTTTGGAACTAACAGAGCTTTTCTATTGACAGATGCATAGCGTCCTCTCCTAGGAGCTTGTCTCAGGAACAGCTCACTATGTTGACTTCAGGAGTAGAGATGTTGGCAATGGCATGTACGGAAAATGGTAGGGTCACATTCTTAACACAAGAAATTAAAGAAACATTTTACCAAATATGGTAAATCTATAGTTACATTAAAGAAACATTTTACCAAATATGGTAAATCTATAGTTACATTTTAGCACAACGTCTAAATTGTCCCAGTATACTGGGGATATCCTTACAATGTCTATCCTGATATTGTTTAGAAATTGATGTATGCAGATAGTCCTTAAAACATATCAATTTAATTATTGTACAGAAATAAACAGATGAATCGTCTCAGTCTACTAGAAAGGAGACAAGGGAAGATTTGATTTTTTATTGTCAAGCATAAAGATCCAGTAGAGTATTGTGAAAGAGAAAATCTGCCATGAAAATCTAGCAGTGTTGTAAAGCTTGAAATCTGCCATGAAAGTTATAGTTTACTATTTGGGCTATTCCAGTGAACATCTATCCCAGTCAGGACTCTAGCTTTTGTTTAGCATACCACACAATGCCAGTAAAACATCTATCCCACCCCAGGACTCCAGGTTTTGTTTAAGGCTTTTCCAGTAAAACATCTATCCCACCCCACGACTCCAGGTTTTGTTTAGGGCTATTCCAGTAAAACATTTATCCCAACCCAGGACTCCAGGTTTTGTTCAGGGCTATTCCAGTAAAACATCTATCTCACCCCAGGACTCCAGGTTTTGTTTAAGACTATTCCGGTTGCTTTGAGGTACCAGTTTTAGAAATCTGTCTAAATAGCGGCTATTTCTTGTTTTTCAGAATCAAACCAGCAGCATTTACTAGGATTAAACAATTTCTCTGAATACATTCTCCAGTTTATGGAAGTTAAAATCAAAGGTCAAGGTCGACTGATGAAATCTGCTTGTGTAACGTTATTACATCGACTGACTTTGTCAGAATCAGGGAGATCCACCGTAATTCGTGTATTCAATCTGACGAGGTAAGACCAAAGCCTATTACTGTATTATACATAACCAGTGTACCTGCCAGTGTTACATTTGTAGGTTTGATAATATTCTTTATGAATGTAACAGAGGTGATTACATTATATCAATGCCTCAGCTGGGATTTGAACCCGGGATCCCCTGTTTAACTAGACTGATGCTCAATCGATTGAGCTGAAGATAAATTCTCTCTTGCTGGACCTATTTATTGTGGCCTGTATTTTGTCATGGTTACCTACTCGTCCTCCAGGAAATAACTTGTCCTCGAGTTTCCAGGGGTTACAGAGATGCTTGTAAAAGTGACCCAAAGTATTATTCCAGAGCACCATGTTGCGTGCCAATGTAACAGAAACCATTATTTATTTCAAAGCCTCCACAAGAATTTGAACCTATGACCTCAGGTTTACTAGTCTGATGCTCAATCGATCAAGCTAAGGCAAAATTCTCTCCAGCTGAGCAGTATGTTGTTAGTATCTACCAGAGTTATATACTCCCCCTCCAGGGAAGAACTTCTCCCTGAGTTTCCAGGTCATACAGCGATGCCTTTGGGACAATGCTAAGTTTCATTCATGAGTCCCACGTTGGGCACCGACTGTAGCATGTCCAGAAATGACTACTGAATGCAGTAAATTTGGAGTTTTGTATTAGCTCTTTGTTGTAGCCAAATGAACCTTCGAAATAGTTAAACATACATAATCACCAAGACTTTACTCATACTATGAGGTAATGGTCATACGATGATAAAATATAATAAAAGATTAATATGTTTAAAGTTACACACTTTAAAACTTACAATCTTGTCACAAGGATTTACTAGAAACATCCAGATTAAGGTTAACATATGACTTAAATGTGCCCCTGATATATGTTACGGTTGAGAGGCAGAGTTGGCGTAAAGTGGGAGGCAGCGGTGCCTGAGATATGGACGGATGGTCCATTTTGCATGTACACATACGTACATACATTAATTCCTAACCCTGCACCAGCAATGTACATGTATTTGAAGACTTGACTAAAAAAGTCATGGTTTTACAACCCATATGTATATTACTAAAACACTGATCAAGGGAGTTAGTATTGTGTTGTGATGTCTTGATGTTTTGATTTGCTTGAGCAAGAAGTATTCATTGATAAATGTGTAAAAGGACACATAGGTCTTATTGGATTATTTACACCAAATAATAATGAAAATAGGAAGGGAGATAACTATTGACATCTGACCAGTAGAGCAATACCAGTACTGTTTATTTATGATTGTGTTGTTGTTTTCTGTAAGTTAATTACGATACTGTGTGTTTATGATTGTGTTGTTGTTTTCTGTAGGTTAATTACGATACTGTGTGTTTATGATTGTGTTGTTGTTTTCTGTAGGTTAATTACAGTACTGTGTGTTTATGATTGTGTTGTTTTCTGTAGGGTAATTACAGTACTGTGTGTTTATGATTGTGTTGTTGTTTTCTGTAAGGTAATTACAGTACTGTGTGTTTATGATTGTGTTGTTTTCTGTAGGTTAATTACAGTACTGTGTGTTTATGATTGTGTTGTTTTCTGTAGGTTAACTACGGTACTATGTTTTTATGATTGTGTTGTTGTTTTCTGTAGGGTAATTACAGTACTGTGTGTTTATGATTGTGTTGTTGTTTTCTGTAGGTTAATTACAGTACTGTGTGTTTATGATTGTGTTGTTGTTTTCTGTAGGTTAATTACAGTACTGTGTGTTTATGATTGTGTTGTTGTTTTCTGTAGGTTAATTACAGTACTGTGTGTTTATGATTGTGTTGTTTTCTGTAGGGTAATTACAGTACTGTGTGTTTATGATTGTGTTGTTTTCTGTAGGTTAATTACGGTACTATGTGTTTATGATTGTGTTGTTTTCTGTAGGTTAATTACAGTACTGTGTGTTTATGATTGTGTTGCTGTTTTCTGTAGGTTAATTACGGTACTATGTGTTTATGATTGTGTTGTTTTCTGTAGGTTAATTACGGTACTGTATGTTTATGATTGTGTTGTTTTCTGTAGGTTAATTACGGTACTGTGTGTTTATGATTGTGTTGTTGTTTTCTGTAGGGTAATTACAGTACTGTGTGTTTATGATTGTGTTGTTTTCTGTAGGGTAATTACGGTACTGTGTGTTTATGATTGTGTTGTTTTCTGTAGGTTAAGTACGGTACTATGTGTTTATGATTGTGTTGTTTTCTGTAGGTTAATTACAGTACTGTGTGTTTATGATTGTGTTGCTGTTTTCTGTAGGGTAATTACAGTACTATGTGTTTATGATTGTGTTGTTGTTTTCTCTAGGTTAATCGCAGTATTGTTTGAGCTTATTAGGACCAATGCTACCATAGCCATTACAGCAGGCAGTGTTCTAAACAACCTGGCACTCGATAAAATGTAAGTTTCCTATTATTTACATTTAAAGATAGTAATTATTGAAACCTGCATTCTTCTCGGTAATTTACGATGACATGATATACATGTAACAACACATTATCATACTGCAATTATTTTTTATCAAAAACTTGTTTCTTACAAATTGGCAGGTAAAATATTTTTGATAAATGGATATTGAGATAAGGATCATCTCATCTGGAAATTTGTTAATAAATTGTGAACTATACAGTATTATTTTTTTAATAAATTACTTACCAGTAATTGTATATATTGGATTTTGAAAAATAAAAAAAAATATGTATATATATGTATTTAAGGTTTCTCATTACCCTTTATTGTTTTGAAGGTTTAAAGTCAAATTAAGAGACAAAATTGATGTAGATGTTCTTCCTGCCTTTGAATCCTTATTGGTAAGTCTAAACCAGCTTCCTTAACCAATCCTTATTGGTAAGTCTATACACAGCATCCTTCACCAATCCTTATTGATAAGTCTATACACAGCATCCTTCACCAATCCTTATTGATAAATCTATACACAGCACCCTTCACCAATCCTTATTGGTAAGTCTATACACAGCATCATTTACCAATCCTTATTGATAAGTCTATACCCAGCATCCTTCACCAATCCTTATTGGTAAGTCTATACACAACATCCTTCACAAATCCTTATTGATAAATCTGTACACAACATCCTTCACCAATCCTTATTGGTAAGTCTAAACCAGCTTCCTTAACCAATCCTTATTGGTAAGTCTAAACCAGCTTCCTTAACCAATCCTTATTGGTAAGTCTAAACCAGCATCCTTCACCAATCCTTATTGGTAAGTCTATACACAGCATCCTTCACCAATCCTTATTGGTAAGTCTATACACAGCATCCTTCACCAATCCTTATTGGTAAGTCTATACACAGCATCCTTCACCAATCCTTATTGGTAAGTCTATACACAGCATCCTTCACCAATCCTTATTGGTAAGTCTATACACAGCATCCTTCACCAATCCTTATTGATAAATCTATACACAGCATCCTTCACCAATCCTTATTGATAAATCTATACACAGCACCCTTCACCAATCCTTATTGTAAGTCTATACACAGCATCCTTCACCAATCCTTATTGATAAGTCTATACACAGCATCATTCACCAATCCTTATTGGTAAGTCTATACACAGCATCCTTTACCAATCCTTATTGATAAATCTATACACAGCACCCTTCACCAATCCTTATTGTTAAGTCTATACACAGCATCCTTCACCAATCCTTATTGATAAGTCTATACACAGCATCCTTCACCAATCCTTATTGGTAAGTCTATACACAGCATCCTTCACCAATCCTTATTGTAAGTCTATACACAACATCCTTCACAAATCCTTATTGATTAGTCTATACACAGCATCCTTCACCAATCCTTATTGATAAGTCTATACACAGCATCATTCACCAATCCTTATTGGTAAGTCTATACACAGCATCATTCACCAATCCTTATTGTTAAGTCGATACACAGCATCCTTCACAAATCCTTATTGGTAAGTCTATACACAACATCCTTCACAAATCCTTATTGATTAGTCTATACACAGCATCCTTCACCAATCCTTATTGGTAAGTCTAAACCCAGCTTCCTTCACAAATTCTTATTGGTAAATCTTTACCCATACCTATACACTTGACTTAAACATTCACTGTGGCATCCTTTGTTTAAAATACTACTTATCCAGATAGACTGACAGGATTCTGACAGAATTTAGTAAAATTTAAAAAAAAAAAAATTTGTTTTTACTTGTCCATTTACAAAGCTGATACTTTGTATCCTCTTCTCAATGGAATAAGATGAAAGGCATCACAAATTCTTTAACTTTGTACATTTACAGAAAGATGGTTGTTCCGGCCAAGCTTGTGTTCTACCAACCTGTGTTACGACAATGATGAACCTGGCGATAGACCCAGCTATACGCGACAAGCTGTGTAGGCGTCAGGATTTATGGAAGGCGATACTTGACCTTATGGTAAAAGACTAGTGCCAAATTTAGATCCATCAGATAAATGCTGTAATGTAGTTGATAGTTAAAACTAAGATTTTTACTACCAGGTAATTTGCTACTTCATATTAAAATTCAAGACAAATTTTAACTGCTTATTCAGTTAGACACATATGGATATAACACAAGTATCACAATAACACAAAGTCAAAGCAAATAAAAGGAAAGACACACACAAAAATAAATGATATTTACATACATGTTGTTTTATACATTCATAGTGTAGACATATATCATTAAAACATGATATGATTATTTAGGGTATGCAATCACATCAAAAGTAGTCTACGATCACAAATTAGCTTGTCAATTAATGATCAGTATACAGTTTTCAATACAAAGAAAACAAGATCAAACGTCCAGCCTGGAAGATTCTGTAATATCGGCAGTCTTTAAGGATGGATTTCTAGTGGAATATAGGAGTCTGGTTCAAAGATGTGTAAACAGCAAATATAGGATGCATTCAGTTTTAATTCTTGCTTCGGATGTTCTCTGTTCCTCTATATTTGCAGTGTATAATTTTGTTGTAGTGAGTATCTGTATTTAATTGTATTTCAGACTCAACACAAAGAACGGCTTGACCAACCAATTAGTGTTGAACTTGTCGAGTCTTTACTGGGTCTTCTGTCAAATCTCACTTTCACTACGTCGCCACAACACAAAGAACATGCCGTCAACATCTGTAAACAGTGCCTGGAGTTCTGTAAAAAATTTAAACACTACAAACTCATCGTGTCACGAAGTCTGGGGGTGCTCAGCCATGTTCTTCCCAACTCTATACCATCTGTTGATTGGTTGTGTACAGAAGATGGTGCAGAAATCCTGATGTATCATGTGAAGGTAAGGAGGTAGGATGTTATGTGAAGGTAAGGAGGTAGGATGTTATGTGAAGGTGAGGTGGTAGGATGTTATGTGAAGGTGAGGGGGTAGGATGTCATGTGGAGGTAAGGAGGTAGGATGTTATGTGGAGGTAAGGAGGTAGGATGTCATGTAAAGGTTGGGGGTAGGGTGTCATGTGAAGGTGAGGGGGTAGGATGTCATGTGAAGGTAAGGAGGTAGGGTGTCATGTGGAGGTAAGGAGGTAGGATGTCATGTAAAGGTTGGGGGTAGGGTGTCATGTGAAGGTGAGGGGGTAGGATGTCATGTGAAGGTAAGGGGTAGGATGTCATGTGAAGGTGAAGGGTAGGATGTCATGTGAAGGTGAGGGGTAGGATGTCATGTGAAGGTAAGGAGGTAGGATGTTATGTGAAGGTAAGGAGGTAGGATGTCATGTGGAGGTAAGGAGGTAGGATGTCATGTGAAGGTTGGGGTAGGATGTCATGTGAAGGTGAGGGGGTAGGATGTCATGTGAAGGTAAGGGGCTGTGATGTCATGTGAAGGTAAGGAGTAGGATGTTATCTGAAAGTGAGGGTATGGAATGTCTTGTGAAGGTAAGGGAAGGATGTCATGTAGAGTTAGGTAAATAGGATGTCATATGAAATTAAGGGAGCATGATGTCATGTCAAGGTTAGTAATTCATAAGATGAATATATCTCCAAGTTAGATATGTAGGTAGTTTGATGACCTGATTAGTTGCCTGGTTCTTATACATTGATGTCTATTACAGAGTGAAGATGATGCAGAAAACAGAAAACATGCTTTAAAAGGTTTGACGGCCTGCACCCAAATCAACGAACTTGCACGTATATTTGTAGTAGATCACAAAGGTAAGGCCTGACAATTCTTAATTATAAGATGATTTTAATTTAGAGAGATGTCTTATATAATGCTCGAAAGTCTTGCTATTTAATCTTTTTTATTCCTAATTGTTTTTTTCTTTTGTTACTAAGTCAGACAAATCGCCAGTGAGATATATGTTTTATGATATATGTACCCATCAATAGACAGGCATTTGAATATGCAATGACTTTTTGTCAGAAAAAAGTGATAATTACATCTGTTACTGGTCATAACTCTGAACTTTTTCAGCATTCTCCCTGATAAGGATAATTTCTTTAGATAGCCTGTGAGAAAGTGACACCAATTCCCAGTATCTAATTTCAACAGAAATAGAAATGCTACTGTGAAATCATGTGTTTTTGTGGTGCTCTAATTTCATTGTTTTTGTTTTTTTTTTGTTTTTGTTTTTTTTGTTACAACAGACATTACACACTATATGTTGGTATTTCTAATTAAACCAAAATTTATGAGGAAGGCTTTATCACACGTTATGGGCGTATTATGAATTAATTGTGTCAATAATTTATTTCATTGTAATGAAGTGTTTGAGGTACTTTGGTAGTTATTCACTGTTGGTGTCTGTTACAGTAGATATTCACTGTTGTTGTCTGTTACAGTAGTTTTTCACTGTTGGATATATGTTTTACATATATGTAAATCACATGTTGGTGTCTGTTACAGTAGATATTCACTGTTGGTGTCTGTTTTTCAGTAGTTATTCACTGTTGGTGTCTGTTAGATAGCCTTGATTCACTGTTAGTGTTTCAACAGAAATAGAAATGTTACTGTGAAATCATTTGGTGTCTGTTACAGTAGATATTCACTGTTGGTGTCTGTTTTGTTACAGTAGATATACACACTGTTGGTGTCTGTTACAAAATAGTTATATTCACTGTTGGTGTCTGTTACAGTAGACAGTAGTTATTCACTGTTGGTGTCTGTTACAGTAGTTATTCACTGTTGGTGTCTGTTACAGTAGATATTCACTGTTGGTGTCTGTTACAGTAGTTATATTCACTGTTGGTGTCTGTTACAGTAGATATTCACTGTTGTTGTCTGTTACAGTAGTTATTCACTGTTGGTGTCTGTTACAGTAGATATTCACTGTTGGTGTCTGTTACAGTAGTTATTCACTGTTGGTGTCTGTTACAGTAGATATACACTGTTGGTGTCTGTTACACTAGTTATATTCACTGTTGGTGTCTGTTACAGTAGTTATTCACTGTTGGTGTCTGTTACAGTAGTTTTTCACTGTTGGTGTCTGTTACAGTAGATATTCACTGTTGTTGTCTGTTACAGTAGTTATTCACTGTTGGTGTCTGTTACAGTAGTTATTCACTGTTGGTGTCTGTTACAGTAGTTATTCACTGTTGGTGTCTGTTACAGTAGTTATTCACTGCTGATGTCTGTTACAGTAGATATTCACTGTTGGTGTCTGTTGCAGGACTTGGGACACTCATACGACTATTAAAGGCCGAGGACGAGATTCTCATCGGGAACTCAGCGTTAAGTCTGGGTCACTGTACTCAGGTACCCAAGGTGTGTGCGGCATTAGCTAAAACAGACATTATCAAAGACTTGTTAGTGTTAGCCAGAGACGGAAGACGTCCTGCGGTACAACAAAACTGTGCCATCCTCATCGCAAAGCTTGCTCAAGGAGATTCAAGGTAATGGTTTAATGAAAATCAGTTTCAAAAACAAAACAAACATGGATCTGACCATGTGCTGTAAATCACATATATTTGGCGTGGGATTTATTTTCGAATTGATACGCCAGGAGTTTTAATAACAAATTCAAATCCCTTGCGATTATTTTGTCAAAATTAATTTTTGATCACATCTTTGCTGATTTGGTAATGGATATCGGTGTCCATACATCTATTAGCCCGTCATTTAAGAATTTAACGTCAATTTAGACCATGTATTCCGAAATATATCTGAAGAGATGTGTTCACAAAATGAAATATTTTTGAAATCTATGTGACATGCTGTATTAGATTTTTCATTCAATATTTATTAAAATTGATACTTTTCAAAACTTTTGTTTTAATTTTAAAAAAAACTGTGTTGGCTTACGGTTTATAAGGTCAGACTTTGAAAATAATGTTTCTGAATTAATCATTTTGGACACTGCTTTCTCATTTCAGACATTTGGAGAAGTTACGAGAGCTCCATGGCATAGACATACTTCACACGTGTATGAAACATCTCAAGTGATTCTCATGGCGGTCTCTCATCCTCTTCAATCACCTCATCAATTAGTGTTCCACATTCTCAAACAGGGTAGCACTTCAGTCACAACAGTCTCAGGATCATGGAATTCCATCTAATAAAAATAAAGTTTGGACACCTGTTAAATGTGGACATATGTTCCATATTTTTGTCATTGAAAGAAAACAAATATTGAAATGAATTCGTTAAAGTTGGTAGATTGATATACAGTATTATATTGATAAAAATAATTGAAGGTTGTTACAGTTTCTCAAGTATTTATTGACAAGAAAATTACTTTGTTTTTGGTAGATATTTAAAGATGGTATGTTCAATATAAAACAGTTTTCCTGTGAAACTCTTATTTTGTTTCACTTTTTAATGGCTCTGAATTGTTCAGCCACATTGTTCGTCTCCTATACTGTTTCTTAGATATTTGTACTTGCCAATTAAAATGTTTTTCAATGTTTTGAAAAAATGTTTTTGACGATTTCCATATTTCTATAATGACCCTAAAGGTGGGCGATTATTTTTTAGGGTTAAAGTGAAGCCGCTCAATATCAAACACCCCTGTGACCAAGATTTCTGTTCAGTTGGCACAAACGTTCCTACAAGATGTCACACAATGTATTTCATAAGAGTCTTTGACTTTATTTACAATAACAAGTTACATCACATAACCTGGTTAAATCAAGAATATTTGAATCTTTCGTAATGGCAAAATTTCACTATATATAAAAGTATGTCTTTGGTATACTGATTTTTGTTCTAATAAAACTGGAATTATGCAGTAATCAATGAAAATTTCATGATTATGATGTAAAAGAACATCCAAGTCATAGACATGCATCTCATTTTAAACAGATTGAATTTTTACGAAATTGTCAAAATATCAGACTAGCATACATTGTATCTATATTTCCGGGTTTTGTTTGATGCAGTATACATGATCTTGCATGCGATTCTGTGTAAAATGTTCAAAAATGTGATATGTGAAAAAAACTACAAGTCAATTAATTGTTATATCAAACTTTTTAATGTGTTTAAAAACTTTGATAGGACAATGATGCAAGTGTATGATACTTTTGATCATATTTATTAGAAAATCACTCCAATTATACCACAGAATTGAAAACTTTGATTGGTGCCGTACAATTTTTTACTTCCAAGCCAGTATTGTTATCAGTAACATTAGTGATATATGAATGTGTATTACTTGATAGAATAGAGGTAAATTGTCTGTCCTGCTTAGTCATTTAAGAGATTAACCTATGAGCGGAGTTTGACCTCTTCTGTATTTACTGCGAGTTTCGCTGGGGTATCTTATTGCATAGTTTCAGTGACGTGTCTCACTTTCAGTGTATCTTATTAAGTGTAATGGGTATATCTCGCAATGTCACAGAACAAGTGCCAGTAAAGCATCTCACTGCAGGTGTCATAGACGTGTCTCATGAAAAACGCCATCAAAAGTGTCATGGGTATGTCTCTCTACATTGTAGAACAAGTGTCACTGAAGTGTCTCAATTTAAGTGTCAGTCACAAGAGTTTCATTAAACGTGACATAGATACGTCTCACTAACTTGTTATACATGTGTCTTTAAATTGTCTCACTAAGTTTCACTAAGTGTCTCATTATCTGATTATATGGTTCGCTAACAGATGCGTCTCTATCTTGGAGTGTCACTTGTTTTTCAATACAAGTGTCGTTCATTCTATTAAAAGTATATCTAAAAATAAATGCCACAATGGGTGTTTCAATATGTGAGGGATATATTAAAGGAATTTCTTGAAGTGTCTCTCTACAAATGAAGAATTTCATCATTCATGTACATAAATCACATCACAGAATTGATTTTTTTAAGGATAAATAAATCGATAATATATTTTGTTGCTTTTGTTGTTATGCTTTGAACTGGTTTCCAGTATTTCAGGATTTTTGGTGATTCATAACCAACATCCAGGGATTGCCACCTCTCAACTCTAGGATTTCTTCAGTTTTGATTTCCATGTGATTGTAAGCTCTGGAATTTCTGAGATGGCAGTTGTTGTTAGGTCACAAGAGACAATGTCATGGTGACCTATTGCGATCACTTTTTGTCAGATGTTGTGTGTCCTTAAACTTTTTACACATTTGGCTTCTCAAAAAATTCATGAAAAGTTTGCAGAAACCCTCCATGGCGAAAGATGAACCAATGGTTTGAATTATATTGTCCCAACCCATCAGGGGCTGTAGGGATATGACTTAAATGGGTCACATTACAAAAACTTTTAAACATCAGATATGATAGGACCACCGTGTATAGAAGTGGCTTACCAGAATTGTAAATTTCATGACCCTAGATCTTGCATTTCCCCCTGGAGATAGGGTCAAGTTTACTAAAGGTTATGAAAAAAAAAATTCTCTACACCTAAATATGAATCAAATGCTCTGAATGGATAGAAAGGTTTAGAAATTATTTACCAAAATTGAATGTGTTCCTTATTATTAAATCTCTGGAATGGTTGCAAAACAAATGAATGCACATCCTCTTGTTTCGTATTGTTACTGAAATTGTTTACCACCATCAGTACATCTATTTTTTTTTTTGTGACTCCTGCAAGCTATAACCCGTTTTATTCGATATTGCTTACCTCAGGTGGCTATCACTAGTCAAATGTTCAGCGACGCCTATCAGTATGACATAATTACGATTGCATGGCAAAGGTCAGTATAATTGGTCAAAGGTCAAACTGTTCATCAATTTCCATCAATTGTAAATATTTTTGATTGAACATATTCTAGAATGTCAAAGGTCAATATAAAGGTCAACATAAAGGTCACCAAAAGACACAGGTCAAGTAAGTCCTCAATTTCAATAGAAAAACTCAATTTCAACTCTGGTTCAATAAAATGATCTTTTATGAGCAATATGTCTAAATGTGAAATGCAATATGTCTGTTGGTTATCAATCTACTTTAGTGAATAAATACTATTCCCGTGAATCGCAGCCACACACCTCATCACAGTCAGGTATTGATGTGATGTGTACAATACTGACACTTAATTCAACACTAAATACTACAATTTATCACAAAGGACAGATACTAAAGAGCAATACTCATGTAGAAACTGCTGTTTAGAGGTATCCCTGAATCTGAGGAGGAGGATGTAACAAATACCTGGGGGTCTCATGATTACCCAGAAAGATATCAGCTGTAGTCATTGTGTTGGCATACGTAATAAACACTACCCCAGAGACAGCAATGCTAGCTTAATTTCCTACAGAATTAGAGCAGCAGTGTATGATGCCAGATTTGTGTTGTTCAATGGTAAGGCCTGGCCAGGATATTGACGAAGAGAAATCATTAATGTCCCATAATGCCCTCAACAGCACCCAACACTGTCAAATATTGCTTTCAAAATAGCCTAAAAATTTCTTAAAAACTCAATTCATTTCAATAAATCAGTATGTTTTCAGTTTTTGAAAGAAATAAATAAATGTATTCTAAAATACCTGATCACTATTTTTTCCCCAAATATTAAAATATTTTTCATCCCATGTGCATTATTTTTTTTCATACTATTTTTCATGCTAAATAAACAAAGAAAATAATTGTAATTGTTCATTATTTGCATTTTTTATTGCCATTAATATTATTAGCTTAATTTTCACAGCCATATATATCAGTTTTTTATTTTCATAATTATTAATGGTAATTAATTTCAAATATTTTGAATATTATGGCTATCAAATTAAGTGCCCATGCTATATTGACAAAATAATGAGCAATATTTACAGAATATGGGATAGATCTGAGCGTGAATTACAGAAATTTTCATTTCAGTAATAATTACAATAACTTTAGTATGCAAATATGGTACCTACGTCCATCTTTGTATCCCAAAAACAAAGAATTTAAAAATCCCACCCTCCCTATGATCCCATGAGCCATTATGGCCAAGACAGAGTGATCTCCCATCCTCTTTCCTTTATGGCGCTGATGACTGTAGATATGTTCAGCTGAGAGCCTTCAGTTCCTCTCTGTAGTTTCACTGAGTATTATTTATCACTCACTTTGATTTTGTCTACCCATCTCCCATTTATATTGTTGTTTACAAATTTATTTTATGGTTATCTGTGCTAATTTTCCGGCCGTGGTTTCCTCCACGTGTTCAAGTGCGTTACCAAGTGTTTCGTTTCGGTTGCATGATGTTTTTTATTTTTGTTCTGCTTTGTCGACTGTTTTTTGCAGTGTTTGCCATGTTACATTGGTTTATGCTTTCTTTCGTGGTTTGTTTGGTTGGTTTTTGTTGAAACTGTTTTTCTTGTTTACAATTTTAGATTATTGTTTCAAGTATAGCCAGCACTGGGTTACGCCGGGGTTTCGTACATGGGTGTTCCCATTTCTTTGGAGAGTGGGATGCCTGTGCCCTGTGCCAGCCTTGTAGCAAGGCTTCGTAGTATGAACTTTGTTCACACACAGTCTTCCGTCAAGGCCCCCAAGCCTGTTCAGTGAGTCCTCTGCCCCCGGTTCTGAACCAGTTGCTGATTTAGGCATTCCTGCCATGGGGTGTTCTCGATTCACAGAGCTCCTGTCCAGGTGCGTCCTGGAGTGGGGGGGTCAAATTAGCTAGGGAGTTCCCGTCTGTAGGTCACTGGTCCTTTCAGTGATCCCGGCATGCCAGGTGGTGTTGTTGGTGGGGGCTGCCTTGACGCTGGGCCTGTACTTTCAAGTGCTGGTTCCGGAATCACAGACTTCTTGTCAAGGTTGTTTGTGTCCATGGGATTAGTGACTCTCAGTTCACTTATCCTTGCATCAGTGCAGGGCATGTTTTTCCACCCTCACAGGTTCCTGGTTCTGGGCCCTTCCAGTCCAGTCCAGAGTTCCATGTGCAGGGGTACCCAGGGGGTTTCCCCCAAGGGGCTGGGTTTGCAGACCTTGCTTCAGGTTTCTGGTCTCGTTTTCCCCCTGGCTCTGGGTATACGGGTGCTTGCGGGCATTCATCCATGGGCTGCCCAGGCCAGCCTGGGGTTGGTTCTGGGTACCAACAATATCCCAGCAGTTACGGGCCTAGCCCGTACATGGGTGGGTGTCCACCTGGTGGAAGTGGTAGTTCATCCTTGTCCTCAGACAGGGTGGCCAACCCCCTGGCTCAGACAGGCCATTTTGGCCAGTTCTGGGATCTCTCCCAGCCAGTGGGATCATTCCCATTCCCACAGGGGGTTTGGTTTTAACCCTTGGGAAATTCCTGGGGTTTGGTCTCTCCCTCCAAGAGACATTTAAGCAGTTTGGAATCACCCCAACTTTCTGCTTCTTCAGAGGCCTTGTCTGCCAGTCTTAGAAAGGTTGCTGGACCTTTGGACTTTCACCTCCCACACGGACCAGTCGGTCTCCAAATCCAAGGGGTTGGCTTCGGGTCTTAGACCCAAGCCTACAGCCATGACTGTTAGGTGCTCTGTGCCTAAACACCATATGGAGGAGCCTATTTTTCCCCATTGTGGAGGAAATGGATTTTGAGGGTGGGGGCATGGCAGAGGAAGATGTGAGGAGGGTTCCCAGGTAAAAGGTGGCCCAGAGGCTGCTGAAACTGAGGCTCAGCATGTTCTTTCTGGGATGCAGGCCCTTTGGGCTGATGTCTCCTGGATTCTTGGGGCGGAGGTTTGCCATCACCTTCCGCATTGTCGATCCCAGAGTTCACCACCCTCTCTGCCAGAAGGCACTATTGCTCTGGCCACTGCCCTGGCTCGGGTGGTGGGGAAGAATTCTTCCTATACCCATACTCTGGGGTTTGCTAGGTTGCAACTCGGCTTGGGTGATCATTCAGAGGCAACTAGCCTCTCAACCAGCTAGGCTGTAATTGACAGAGCTGACACCCTGGCCCAGCCATTCTGTAGACCAAGTGGTGTTCGGTTCTTAGGAACAGCACAAGATGGAGAGAATGTTGCGACTGTCCATCCAGATCCTATTGTATATAGACTACCTGACAGTTTGTCTACATAGAGTATTCAGATATCTGAGGCAGAACTGGCCGACATGCAGGACAAAATCACCTCTGTCCTGAACACAGCATCAGTGACTTTGCAAGTCTCTTTGCTCACCAATGTCGTGTTGGCTAGGTATTTTTCAGTTGAGGAACCCTACCTCTCCCGCTTGTTGACTGCCCCATTCTCGGGCTCTACCATAATAGGAGGAGCTCTTCCTTCTGTACAGAAGGATATGAAAGAGGACATGATCACCTCAGCACTTTTAGTGAAGGGTTTCCAGATTGAGAAGGCTAGTGCCTCGCAGGTCAACACCTCCCAAGAAGAGGGCAATGTCTTCGGTCGCTCAGCCTAAGTCCAAGCCTCGCTTCAAGGGCAACAAGCAGCAGGGTAGGAAGGGTAAGAATCCTCCTGGGGGCAAGAAGAATGGTTTCCGACTTCTTCAGCTCCTTCGCCGCGGCAGACCAAGAAGGAGGCAGATGATTCCCTGGTTTGGTAGGATCTCAATCTATTATTATTATTACATTCTTAATTGCCTGTCAACACACAAAAGGTCATTAGGGCCATCAAACGGTACAACACACAACGATCCAAAAGGAAATAGCATTAAACAAACCAAAAGGAAAAAGACATGTTAAAAATCTTAAATGGGTATGTTAACACAAAAGATTAAAATGGTATCTCATAGTCTATTATATAGACCAACATCTTTCAGGTAATGTAGAATTTTATAAATCTGAACAGTTTCGAAAAGGGATTTTAGACATGTAATGTTACGATAAAAACGGTCTCGAGTAGACAGAAGGTCACTGCAGTCCAATAAAAAATGTTTAACAGTGAATGGCTCATCACATCCTATGCACTAAGAATTATATTCGCCTTTCAACATAT